TTACGGAGATGCTTGGTGCACTTGGAGGTTGAAACCATCTTTGGGAAGCCCTTCCCACAGCGAGAAGGCAAAAATAGACATGCAAAGTGTTCCTGAATAACTATTGCAGGGGAAACAGTGCTGTGAAGAGAGACTTTGAGAGGCAAATTGCAACTTTTCAAAAAATTTAGTGTTTCAAAATGTACATTTATTCATTCATTAGGCTAAGGCACGTACACTATTGTTAACCTAGGTGAACTGCAAAAGCTCCCCCAACTTCCCCTCCCCCATTTGTTAAGCGCCTAATAAATTAGGAGATGGGGTACAGTCTCCTACCATATATCTGTCTTAAGTCTCTATGGCTCCAGAGGCCTCCAGGGTTCTGCAGTTTTGAAGGTTGACTTTTCTTTCAAAGTGGTCATTCTCCTTGAAAATGGCTGTCTAATGCCCTTTCCCTACTCAACAACTCAAACTGAAAAATGGTCATATAAAAATTACTAGCTCCTTGCATCTCAAAAGCATCAGGATTTAGGAATGAGAAAAGAAAAGATCTGGTCCAGGAGGAGCTAGTCCCTTTCCACTGTAGCCCAAACAGGGATGCTCTAGGTTCATAATATCTGAGTGCCTTCTAGCAGTGCATTAAAGAATGTGATGAGCAACTGCCATGTATGCTTTGTTCTCTCACCTCTTCAGGGACAGAAGAGAATGAAGTGGAATGTTTTTGGTAGGTATTTTTGTTGTTTTTAAATATACACATTTAGGTTCGAGAAGCCAAGATCAGAGAAACCCACCTTGAACTTGGAGCAGAAATGTGGTGGTTTGTGGTGATCCTTAGTTCCCAGGGTAATACATTCTAATCTTGGACCAGTACCTGAGAAAGCTGTCTCCTGTCCCAGACAACCTTCATTCTATGTTGGAGAAGGTTCCATTGTTCCAGAGTAACTCTAGCCCTACAGCTGGAGAAGCTCCAGCTGATTTTGTATGGTCCCAGGTCGTGAGGAAGGAAATGGGGGGGGGGGTAGGAGGAAGAGAGCATGAAGAGGAGACAAGCTGTGACAGAGTTGTAGTAGAGCTTCTCGTGAGTTCACAGCTCTAATTCAAAGACTCCTTGCCATTGTTGCACACCAGGTCCTCTTTTCTGAGCAAGTCTGAACACCACGTAGCCAGCATACATGACCCAGAAGGCTCCATACATTTGTTGCTGACTAGATTCCTTAAAACGCAAACACATTGCTTCCTCCCTCACACCTTTGCTACTTGGGAGATGTTTTGAACTGTACTATATAGTAGAGTAGGTCACAACTACATAAACTAATCTTTCAGGTGTTCAGCACCTGCAGGTCCCATTGATTCCAATAGGCACTAGGAGGTGCTTAGCACTATTGAAAAATCAGGCCACTTACTTACGTGCCTAGAGATGATGTAGAGCCCAACTTTAGGCTCCTATTTTTAAAAGTATGGGTAATCAGTGTTTGGCAGCAGTCTGAAGACTCCTGCTACCCTACCCCCTAATCAGTACATGCATTGTTAATCAGGAAACCATTTCCTTTCACTATTATTCAGCTGCAGTTTTTATAACTACTCTTGTTCTATGTGCTTGGGCCTACATCATGGAGGTACAGTGAAGAAAACCGATGCCTATAGAAAAACTGTACCACAGCCATTTAATAATCTTTGATTTTCTTAAAAAGAGGGCAATAAAAAGTGACAGTATGATCTTAACCGGTGAAAAAGCAGTACATCTGGGAAAATACATGCACACAACAATATTCCTCTGTCCCATAACTTGAAAATTTATTTGGCATTAATAGTTGAGTTTTTGGCCAATTCTCTCTCTAAATTAAGGCCTCTCCTCCCTTCCCTGCTATAAATGATAGAATTATGAAAAAAGGGAGATAAAGGTGATGACTCCCAAAGATCTCAAAAATTGGGTGACTGGGCAACAAAATAGCAATAGAAATTCAATGTGTTGATAAGTGTAACATTTCCAATGGACACTGGAAAAAATCCCAACTAGACCCCATCATTCTGTATGTATAATGGGTTACAACTCAAGACAGATTGTGAAGTCATCGTGGATAGTTCTCTGAAAAGTTCTCTGAAAAGACCTGCTCAATGTGCAGCAGCAGTAAAAAAAAAGCTAACAATATTAGGAAAGGAACAGATAATAAGAGAGAAAAATCTCATAATGCCACTGAGTCCATACTTTGGACACCCACACCTTGAATGCTGTAGTCAGTTCTGACTGTCCTGTTTCACAATGGATATAGTGGAGTTGGAAAAGATACAGAAAAGGGCAAAGACGATCAAGGGTACAGAATAGCTTCCATATAAGAAGAGACTAAAGATTACAGCTGTTCATCTTAGAAAAGAGGCAACTGAAGGACAGACATGATAGTGGTCTATAAAATCATGGATGGTATGGAAAAAGTGTTATGTATCCTTTCCCACAATACCACCACCGGGGTCACCCGATGAAATTAATAGGCAGCAGGTTTAATACACACAAGAGAAGTACATTTTCATACAAAATCCACAATTAACATGTGGAACTCATTGCCATGGGATATTGTGATGGCCAAAGGCATCACCGGGTTCAAAAAAAGAACTAGATAATCTCAGAGGATAGGTTCTCGGGGCGATTAGCCAAGCTGGCAAGGGATGCAACCCCATGCTCAGGACCAGAGACATAACCAGGCAATTTAGCACCCAGAGCAAGCAAGCATATTTGTATCCCTATTGTTTATTTCATCCCCCCCCCGGCAGCTGCCCTGCTTGCCCCACCCTTGTTATGGCCATGCTCAGGGCAGCCCTAAGACTCTGACTGCCAAACTGCCCTGTCCTGTACACTTCCCCTGAAGCTCTGGTACTGGCCATTGTCAGAGACAATGGAGCGTTTAGCCCACTCTCCTGGTCTGACCCAGTATGGCAGTTCTTATGGATTTTAATCTGTTTCAAAGCATAGGTTGCATACTGTGCTAATCTATTCAATTAGATGTGTATCATATGGTTAACTATACTGATTACACAAATACACAGTTCAGTTATTTGCATACCGAATTGATACAATTGTTGGTTTTAAAAACTTTTGCCAAAACTGGATGTGGGTATGTGTAAAACGGCTAATGAAATCTGAAAGACTGGCTCAGCTCTGGTTCATTCAAACCCTGCCTTTTAAAAAAATTAAATACCTCCAACTCCACCCCTGCACCACCCCAAATGTTAGCATAATCTATAATTCAAGAATTTTATATGTGGAAGGAATTATTTAGTGGTCTAATTAATTTGATGGTCTAATTAATTCTTAGAAATTATTAGAAGTATAAGTCTCAGAGCTGATTCAACCTTTCCTCCTCCAGAAGCTAATAATCAGTTCCATGAAGTTTAATGATTATAATAGGGACTTTTCGATGAAATTTTAAAAACTAAGGTTGTGTGTCCATACTGCATAACCACATTTCAGCACTGGGGTCTATGTATATGCTGTAAAGAATTTCAGGATCCAGTCAGGATGAAAGATGTTGGAAACAAGCAAAGCATAATTATGCATTACTGTATAAAAGTAACTCTAGATTTCCCACTGAAACATATTAGCATTACAATGTTAACCAGATGTATTTCAGAAGTCTGGAATCCATTCCAATCAAAACAGTTGGAGAAAAAGTGTCTTATTAGAAAAGTTTGTAAAAAAACGTTAAGCTTTCAATTTACACATGCCTAGTCTTTGTTCTAGGTGTTCCTAACATGCATTAATTACTCCAAGACCCTCCCCTTAACTCAGTTATCTACTCAGTAGCTTAAGCATACTTGATCTTCAAATGGCAACCAAAGTCCTCCAATTTAGGAGGAAAAAAATCCCTCGCAGCAGGGCATAAAAGTTGATAAAGCAGGACTATTTTACATCTAGGAAGAGTTCCAAAGCTAGGGAATCAAGGACATTGCAGGTACAATACACTCAACTAAAGCTATTAAGCTACTGTATTGTACCAACTTAAATGATTTATTCAATGTCAATACAATAACCTGCTTTTTGTATAGCATTTTTTAAAACCATTTATATAGGACAAAAAGAAAAAGGAGGACTTGTGGCACCTTAGAGACTAACCAATTTATTTGAGCATAAGCTTTCATGACCTACAGCTCACTTCATCGGATGCTTGACAGCTTGGGCTGTGCGCCCCCCTTGCCACTGGCAGCACTTGTCAGTCCAAGTGCTCCCAGTGAGGACGCCTCCACTGGCAGAAGAAGGGTAGCATGGACACAAAAACCTGCAGTGGCTGTAGGTTGAGCTAACGTAGGTCGACTTAATTGTATGGTTTTAAAGCTGCTATTAAACCCTGGAACTGTGGAGCTCTGGATATGAAAAAGGGAAGTCAGGTGACAGAGCGAGCATGCCACCTTCCATTTTTTACTTAGGCCAAGACAGTTGCCCAACAAGTTATCCTGTTAAGGAATTAACAGAAGTGCCACTTGGCAGAGGCTTGGATTTTCAGCCATTGCAGGCCTGTTTGCCTTCTATTCTCCCCAGCAGAATGAAGAAAATGACAGGAAGACAGCTCACTTTCCAGGTATTATGACTGGGTATGTTGATTTTTCCAGAGTGTGTTAGGGACTCGGAGTTTTCATTTGGACCAACAAAGCATATCAGAACATGGGCTTACCCTAGGCCCAAGACATGCGGCCAACAGAGCCTAGACTTAGGGATTGCAGTAAAATGCAGCTAAGGCTTTAACCCACTGTTGCCCCACATCACCTCATACCTTTATCTGGTTTCATAATTCAGTGTTTCATAGTGACCAATAGTTCACTTACCCAGTCCAAGATATCATGGCCCTAAATTAGGATATGAAGTTCTTAACTCAACTAGTCAAACAAAATACTTCATATTATGCTAACAAAATGGTCCAATCTATGCCACTTTCCAGCCAATGGAGTACCTTGCTAAAAAAACAACATAATAGGAGCAGGGCACCACTTTCATTAATTTTGTTATGAGCAATAAAGTACAGTACTTGCAGATAGACACTTTTTTCCTTTTTTATTGCTGTTAATTCAAGGAAGAAAGGTTGCATAAAATCCAATCTGTTCTAGAAATATAAGTGACCTTTCCAGTACATAACATTTCAAATATCAAAGTATATGGTAAACATACAAATAAAGAGAAGGTAACATACCTCCTATTTACAGTACAGTATTTTAAATCATAAAATAAGTTCCATAAAGTACAACTGGCAGGTAATTCACAATGTGAGTCCATTGGTGCTTTAACACCCTCACTTAAACTCAAATGCAGTTAATTCATTTAATAATGCGGTCCAAAAATACCCAGATCAAATAAAATATTTTTAATCAAAATAATTTCCATTTACTACTTATTTTTCTTTTCTTTTTAAATTAAAGCTTTCATCTACCCTACCCCACCCCAAGGGAGAAAAATGTATACTGGTGCTATAAATATAAATGCTACCTATGAAGACATTTAGTAAATCAAGCTTTTTTTCTTCAAGTTTTTGTTTAGCAATTAGGCAGCTGAACCCCCATACAATTTTACTTTTGTCCCTCTACTGCATATCAGCATCTTACTTTAAAAAAAATCTTTCATTTCTGCTATGAACTGTGAGGAATGCCAAAAACCTATGGATATACAGTGGTAATTTGTTCATCGGTGTTGAATATAGCAGTCATGAAAAATTCACTCAATCTTCCAGATAACCTCAGTGCACTTTAGGAAATCAAATATTACCTGGAAGCAATTTAGTACATATTGGCTTTTAAAAATAAAAATACAGCAGCATTAAACTTACTGACATGACACCAACATGATTAATACCATCTTAGCACACGCATTTCAGTCTTTCACATTATACCATAATCACGCATAGTGGTAAATTATAAAATAGTGACTTTGCTATTTGGTAGACCAGTCCTAATACTAATACCTGACTATTTTGTAGAAAACCGTAACTTTTGTTCAGACTGAAATAAACCATTTACATTCTAAATACAATGCAACACTGTAATAGTTTAGGGAAAAATCAAATCAAAATCAAGTAATGTTCATTCTGTGTTGACACAGAAGTAGAATAGCTTTTAAAAAAGGACTCACTGTCAGCTTTCATCAGAAATGCAAACACATGGAATACAACATTCATACCAACCCCCCGCCCCATGTCTCTTGGAACAATCAGGCTAAAACACTACAATGGAAATAAGATCTTTCACTTTAAGCTTGCTCACGTTCATAAATCTGTTTTAGTCCACAGTGTTTCATTCCCTTCCCACTTGAAGTATTTTCATTTACGTGTGTGTGTGTGTGTGTGTGTGTGTGTGTGTGTGTGTAAAACAAGATATTACATACACACTATTCTGTGAGTCTTTAGTCTCGCTCCCCACAGGAAGACTAAACAATTTCCCCATATAATTCATGAGTATAACTATTTGCTATAGTTTGGACAAATTCTCTATAAACTGCCAAATACTCAGACAGTCCAATGAAACCTGTGGACACACAGTGAAGGTGGGAGAGAAACAAAAACAGCAGCAAAAGGAGAACAGGCTGGGGGTGGAGTGGGGTGGGACAGAAGAGGTGGGATTGTGACAGAACATGACCAAGTTTCTTGTTTCAACCATATGGCTGCTCCACCAGTGATGTCGGAGGTCAAAGGACATTTTAAAAAATGCAGTAAACATTGCACATGTCTCAAGTCTTCAGTGCAAAAGTATGGTTCAAATGCTCTTTTGATTGTTTGGCTGTGTGTTTGAATTACATGCATTATGCAAGCTTTTTGCAGAACCAGGAGATCAGGGACTCAGTTTTCTTCTTTTGTATTGAACAGAGGTGCAAAAGCAATGAAAAATTCCAAAAGAATATAAAACCAGGAATATCCCAAATGCAAGACCTCAGGAAACATTCCCCCTCCCTCTCAATTCCCCAAACTTCAGTTTGTTATGTAGGCAATGTTTACTTGTTTCAGTCTGCAGAATCCAACGTATCATTGGAAGGGGGAGGGGGAGGTGCGTATCTCAGTCTGTAAGTGCCTAAAACAGGAAAGAGAACTACTAAGTCACTGTTTACAATTAAACAGATTACAAACCACTACAAGGTATCAAAATGGACATGCTCTTCAAAAGGCACTATCTTGTTCTCCAATCTTATTTAAAAGGAGGGCTCAAACTTCATCGTTTTTCATCTCCTTGATGAAGTGTCAGCATAAAAGAAATCCAACGTAAAAATGTAAGATACTACCTCCCCTGGAAAAATGCAAAGTAAAAGCAATCCCCAAACACCAAGACTAATTTTTCCTGTTCAAGTTTGGCAAACATGATTAAGGTCAGAACAGACACACTGAGGATCAGAAAGGAAGTGATGGAAGAAAAATGTATTTAATGTTCTACAGGTACAAACACTGTTTCCCCCTCTTTTTTTGAATGGAAAGAGGATGGAAGTTATAAAACTGAAGTCATTTGTTAAATTTTGATTTCTTATTAGTGTCTTATTTCAATGTCTTTTTGCTGCAACTGTCTCAGAAGTCAAACAAATCCCACCTACATAAAATAGGTTATACAGAGGATAGTTGGTTATGCAGAGGTAAAAAATACATCAGAATGACCAGTTTGTTTTCTCAATCTTCACATGCTTTAGAAATCCAAGCCATGTATTGTATATAGTACCTGACAATTTCCAATCCTTTTTGCAACTGAATTCTACCAAAACATCAAAGGGAGTGGAAGACTTGACATTAATAGCATGCAAGTCTGAAAATACTGCCAAAAGCCTAGAGAAAAGAATGACAATTTAGAACAGAGATGGGTTCATTTCCTAACCCAATTTCATACCCCTTCAAAATTTAGTTTAGTACCTGTGAACTCCATTTCCCCAGTATTTGATTGGGGCTAGATAAGCCTCTTTGCGGTTTTATAGCAGACCACTAGTGCACAACGTACATTTATACAAACACACACGCACACACCTTTCTGCAAGAACAGAAACAGCATGGTCAGTAAGGTAAAGAGAAACTAGTAAATTCAAAAGCAAGTCCGTTGGGAGCTATCATGATTACCTTGCTGATTGGCCTCCATGGATGACTGCTTACAGTCCTGCGCATAGTGTCCACTTATACCACAATTGTAACATGAAACATTCCCATTCTTCTTGGGCCCCGATCCATTTGTGTTGGCAACTACGTTAGGTGCTGGATATACAGGATAGTACCTCCCAAATCCTGCCATTTGCTGCATACCATAGTTGGCTTGGCTCCCCATTACTGGGTCATGCATCAGTCCATTTGCATATGGAGTCTGAGGCAGGAAAAAAGGAAGTTGTGTTCCATTGCTTTGATGTGCTTGGTTGAGGTAGCTGCCATTGCAAAGAGATGGCAGAGTGAAGAAAGGTGGAACTCTGTAGACTTGTCCATGAATAGGGTTATGATAAAAATAGCTATTGATCTGAAGGCTTCCATTGGACCCACAGCTGCATCTACGTCCACAAGAACCACAAGCCCCAGACCCCAACTGCTGTGGAGGCATTAAAGTCCCATTAGTGTTAGTATTTCCAACAGCATTTATATAGGATGTGCTGTCACTCTGCGCAGTGCTGTGTGTTAAAGCAGGGCTTGGGCTAGGGGCAGGGCCTGGTGTATGGGTAGGTATTGCAGGGGGAATAGTTGACTGGATCTGACCAACACCTAAACCAGCTGATTGAGGTGGTGTGGAAGTTGCTACAGAGTTCAGCACATTTGTATTCTGGTTGGGCAACACATTGGTAGCATGAGGAGTGCCTGGCAAAGTATAGGAAGCCGGTGGAGGTGCTGTTGAAAGACCAGCTGCGGGAAGAACTACCTTTAGACTGGTAGGCTGAGGGATTGCTCCGGTGTTCCCCTCAATATGAGGCACCATTTGATTCAGTCCTACCACTTGGGATGCAGGTTTTGTGATGGGATCTGTATTAGGAACTGGGGATCCTGGAAAACTACCTGGGCTGTGGACTGGGATAAAGGCAGTATTTGGTGAGCCAACGCTTAAGTTTGCTGTTGGTTGCTGTGGTCCATTAACTGTGCAATTTTCAGATGACCCCTGCGAAGAGGGTATTTTCAATCTGTGTATTGCCAAGTGCAAAGCTGGGCTACCAGGCTGTACAGAATGTGGAAGGAAAGTAGATGGTACTGGTAGAGGGGAAGCCAACAGCTCAAGGCGTTTTTCAGATTCACCAGAAGTCATTGGCCCTATTCCAACTGGAGTTGGATTTGCAGATTCTCTCATTGGCGAGATAGCGACAGGAGTGGTAACAAGCATTCCCATTGTTTTACCATCAGCAGATATGGGTGGTGGAACTACAGCTTCAGGTTTCTGTGCACCATTGTGCATCACACAGTGTAAGGCAGGCATAAATGAAATATGTTGAAACTTTGAATTTAAAGGATCCTCTGAAATACTTCCATTCTCATTACTCACTGAAGAAATCTGAGCAGCTGTTGCTTTGATGTTCGATGGACTGACAGCACCATAAACAGTAAACCTGCCTGCGTTTTGTTTCCCAGAGTCCTCTGAATTGCTGTCTGTATCTGTTGAAGATAAAGCATTAGTGAAAAACTAAAAATGCAAACTTGAGGTTTACTGAATTTTAAAGGCACAAATAAGTGTTATTTCACCTTGATGTAGATGAAATTAAAGACTGTTTATCCACCTTTCCAGCTTGGGTTGGACTGATTTTGAATTAGAGGCATATCTGCCTTGCTTTCCATTATTTGCTTTCACCAAATAATCCACTTGCTAATTTGTGTTTGTGACTTCTATATCCATATGTATAAGTGGAGGGCACAGAATAAATTAAGCTACTCCCATCCACCTGGAAAGATGGGAAATAACTATGCCCCCAGCTGGTACAATTCTCAAAATACAGGTGGCAGGGGAAGAGGAGAAAAGATCTCAAACGCACCATGTATAGTTAAACAACTTTTCTGCTCCTTTAGCTTTTAGGACAGTCAAAACATTTTTATCTACTGCACTGTCAAACACAAGTAATCTACAGCACGGGTTCTCAACCTTTTTCTTTCTGAGGACCCCCAACATGCTATAAAAATTCCACAGCCTAGCTGTGGCACAGCTGTTTTTCTGCATGTAAAAGCCAGGGCCAGCGTTAGGGAGCAGCAAACAGGGCAATTGGCCAGGGCCACACACCACAGGGGGCCCATCAAAGCTATGTTGCTCAGGCTTTGGCTTCAACCCTGGGTGGTGGGGCTTGGGACCCCAGGCTGCAGTCCTGCGCGATGGGGCTTTGGCTTTCTGCTCTGAGCTCTAGCAAGTCTAACACTGGCCATACTCGGCAGACCCCCTGAAACAGAGGGCCCTGGACCCCGATTGAGAACCACTGATCTACAGCACTGAAAACAAACAAATATGGTTAGCATTGAGATTTATACACAATAGGTTTGCTACATTTTAAAAAAACAAGGTGTTTTCATGTGTCTTCTCAATTTTCAAAGCAAGCATTTCTAGTATTTAACCAAGTTTCTTAAGTGTTAAGAGCCCCAACACAATATTAAGTGGATGAAAGCCAGAAAGCAAACATGACCACTAGTCCATCATTCAGAGCAAATAAAAAAATGTAAGTAAATGGTGAAAAATAAATTAAGACGTTAATACCTTAGTCTTTTATCAACTCAGGTAGGGGATATTTAAAGATATACACAGTGATTTTTACCTTGACAGTGTTCCTAAAAACTAAAAAGAAAAGGAATACTTGTGGCAGCTTAGAGACTAACAAATTTATTTGAGCATAAGCTTTTGTGAGCTACAGCTCACTTCATCGGATGCATTCCCCACTGTATTTTCAACTGAATGCATCCGATGAAGTGAGCTGTAGCTCACGAAAGCTTATGCTCAAATAAATTTGTTAGTCTCTAAGCTGCCACAAGTACTCCTTTTCTTTTTACGGATACAGACTAACACGGCTGCTACTCTGAAACCTAAAAACTAAGACTGTCTGCCTTAACCAAAGGAAAGCCAGGCAATCCAAAAGGAACAAACCATGAGAACAACTTCTAGTGTCTGCATAAAAAAAAAGCTTAGTCCTTCCTATACAGCTTATGCCACCATGCATTACTCCTCATGGTCGCCTTCCCAACCCTGGCTCCTACCCAGCCTTGTGTTCATCCTGCCTCCATTGCCCAGCTCCACAATATACTCTGCATATATCCTCAGTCAACATCACATTTGGTTTTATGTTTATAAAGCTGAACGTAGAAGAAGAGTATAAGACACTGAGTGGGGCTAATTAAGAGGCACATAGGGAAGAGTTCTGAAAATGCTATGCAGGGAGCATGAGGCGGGGATGAGCGCCAAGTCTCTTACAAGTAAACATACAAAATTACAGAAGATGAAAAGTTTCACACAAAAAAAGTGCGGCAAGTTTTTCTTGATTTATCAGATTGAGATGTTACAGCTGAAAACATGACAAGGTGTAATCGTGCCGCACATTTGGAATCTTACAGCGGAATCTCAATGGGGGGATTTTGTACATTTGGTATAAGGCTGAGCATTGCTCCTTTTTCCTGGGGTATATGTTAACGGCAATATATTTATCTTGGGGATTTTTTTGTATGTTTTACACTGAAGTAAAATTCAAAGCTATTTTTAAAAGCTTTTGAAAATAGACCCTCTCAGGAAGGCAGACAGCAGAACATTCTCCAGAAAACTTATTTCAAATACAGATTATGGAGTCACCTCAAGCCAGCAGTGAACAAATGCGATATCTGTACATCATCTCATTGCATTTCGTATAACTTTGTAATTTCCAAGGAAATCCTTATCAGTTAAACAAGCTTTGGAAACTGCCAAAATGTTGTCGCATTATTGAAAGTAGATCCTTAACTTGTTACAGAACTTTGTGTGCAGGAGATATATTGTTTGTTCACAGCTTTCTGGAAACATGTGACATGCACTATACTCCTTCACAGTAAATAGACGGCTTGTGTCTTCCAATGATGTTGCTAATTAAAGTATATAAAGCACATTTTCCTACTGTCATATGACTGCATATGTGTCAAGGGGTTATTATAATGGTATAAAATGAAGGGTACCAGTTAAGTATTGCAAAGCAAAGATTAACATTTCTTGCCTTCAGGAATCAATACTACAAAATGTATCACCTAGGTACTCTCTACCATCAACACAAACATGCGTACTTGGATGTAAGTTAAGTCTCAGAAGCGTTACTTAATATAACTTTGGTGTTTTAAAAAGAAGAGGAAAAACCTTAGTAAAATTTATGGAGCACTGTTTGCTTGGAGGCATAAAATTAGTCAATTGGTAAATTGAGTACACCTAAAATTGGGAGTTATTTAACATTGCAAAACAGGGTTTTGAAATAGCAGTGAAAACCTGAATCCTGACCAGCTGGCAATGTAGTAATCAAATATACGACGGAGGCAATCACAGTTACACTACTTATAAATATAGTATGGGAATAAAGATTAAATCAGACCGTCAGTAGAGCATTCCAGAGTAAAAGTGGTCAAGCTCAACGTTTGCCCTACTGAGGTGTTCGAAGTGTACACACACACACACACACACACACCACTGCACAAATCCAACCTCTGTCCTTCTCTTCTTCACTTTCAAAGCTTTCCCTCCCATCATGTTGTGGGCTAGAAGGAGAACTGTAACTCTCTGAAGATGTTTCTCCACATGTGTCACGTCCAGATCCAACGTCCAAATTCAGATCTAAAAATAAAAAGAACCTCTCTTTTTATTTTGTATCACACTGTATGGCAGCTGGGTTATTTTGGATTGCTCACGCCCTGCTAGTTCAGATTTATTTATATATATCTCCAAAAGAACTAAAAGAAAGGATAAATGCTCAGTCAAATGGTGTCCTTTGCTGAACTGCAGTAGATCAGTCATGTCCTCTCTTTTGAATTGCTATCAAATATACTGTTGGGGGACTTTCAACCAAACACTTCCCCACCTTAGACTTACTGGGAGAAAGTTCAATTTCTTGGGGAGTTTTAATAGTTAAATATGTAGTAGAACCGAGTCACGATAGATCAGGGGTGGCCCAGCTGTGGCTCCGGAGCCACATGCTGCTCTTCAGAAGTTAATATGCGGCTCCTTGTATAGACACCGACTCGTGGGCTGGAGCTACAGGCACCAACTTTCCAATGTGCTACAGGGTGCTCATGGCTCAACCGCTGGCCCCACTCCACTCCTTCCCCCAAGGCCCCCACCCTTCCCCTAAGTCTGCCACGCCCTTGCTCCTCCCCCCCCACCCCCCGCCCCAAGCCTCCTGCACACCACAAACCAGCTGATTGCAGAGGGTGGGAGGCGCAGGGATGGAGGATTAGGTGCTGATCAGCAGTGCTGGCGGGTGGGAGACACTGGGGGCAGGGAATCTGACGGGGGGCTGCTGACGTGTTACTGTGGCTCTTTAGCAATGCACATTTGTAAATTCTGGCTCCTTCTCAGGCTCAGGTTGGCCATCTCTGTGATAGATCATATCACCCATCTTACCCAACCAAGTGCAAGCAGACTTCCTGGGAGTGAGAATTTTGTATTCACTCAAATGAGATTGAAAAACCAAGGTAGTCTAACATTCTCTTAGATATAAAGGTCAATACTTGCTGCTCTGGTCACTGAAAATAAGATCCTCAAGTGGAATCTCAGAAGTATCTGACAGTGTACGAAGCTACAACATAACTAGCTAATGGCATGGCAAGACTAGAAACAAGAACCAAAGACCAGAGATGGGAGATGTCATGAAAGACAAAAAGTGGTCAAGTTTTACCAACCCAAAGAGAACATTTTTAGACCACACCTGGTTATAGCTACAGAGGAATTCCAGCATGCCATTCAGGAAAGACATTCTTCACAGACTGAAGTGCAATAGCTCTGCCTTTGAGCCCATTCCAGATGCAGCTCAGTATGATGTGCAAATATAACCTAGCTGATCACAAATGTTTGGGAAGAAAACGAGTGACCATCTCACCGTAAGTAACTGAAAGTCAGGGTAGACACGACCAGCTTTCTTGCCATATGCTAAGCAACAAGCAGGCAAGCACATGCTATAACTACTACCTTGAAATCGACAACTCCAAATAAAAGCAAATTGCTTTATTTTTTATTTATTTATTTTATTATTTATATTTATATTTATATTATTTTATTATTATTATTTTTTTACTTGTGATTTGGTTATCACCTTGGCTAAGGTCCCCGTCAGGCAACATTCAAATGGTAATTGCTCCTCCAGAATACTACTGCATTATGGACTTCCATACAAAAGGAACAATTCAGACATACCTTAACTTCTGAACCTGTCAGAGGCATCGCTCTGGCCTCCCTACTCCCAAAATCCCCCAGAATTTCCCTTTACAGAATTCTTGATATATATATTGTCAGTCTTAAACAATAAGCTCTCCAGAGCAGATAATCATGCTGTATAAAACACCATGTAAATTTACAGTGTTAAGTGACTGCTTGCCATTTCCTCAAAACACCACAATATTCAAATACAGGATATTACCTGAATCTTATCGGGGTTAAAATTTAAATCACCTCTCTCTTATCCAAACAAAAATATATGCCAGACAGTCACCACAGTGTAGAGTTGGGTTAACAAAGGATACAAGTAATTATCTTCATTAGAATATTTTACTGCAGATCAAAACATCCCTTAGCATAGTCACACAGATTGAAAAAAGGACCCAAGATAGAAGTCTATAGCATTTCAAGAATGAATTATTTCAACCAAGTATCCCTCAACACTCTGAGGCCTCTTCCAGGACTGAGTTCAGCCACTAGGTGGTATCAATACCTTATTATCAATTGCAATCAAAGATTATCAGCAAGGACAGACATTTTTGTCCATAGCTCATGCCATGACAATCTGAACTGGACTGACTGAAGTATCAGAGGTTGCATGTTGTTCTAATACATAATGTTGCTTAAATGCGTGGGCCGAGGTCCACATTGCAGTCTTACAGAAGTCCGTAATAGGAATGCGGCAAGGAGTCCAGTGGCACCTTATAGATTAACAGACATATTGGAGCATAAGCTTTCGTGGGTGAATACCCACTTCATCGGATGTATGTAGTGGCATAATAGGAATGTTAAGGAACGCTGTGGAAGCTAATAAGGCCCTGGTGGAATGTGTGCGAATCTTTGCAGGGGGTTGCCAGTCATGTTGATGGTAAGTTTGATGCAATCTGAAATCCATTTGGATAGCCTCCGTTTAGATATGGCGTCCCCTTTGGATCATTTAGTAATAGAGACGAATAGTTTTGGGGACTTATGAAATGATTTAGTTCGATGTAAAAGGCTATTGCCCTGCCTGCATCTAGGGTATGTAACAGGGACTGCCATACCTCGTTGGGCTTGGGGTAGAATGCCGGTAGATAGATGGGCTGATTGAGGTGACTTTAGGCAAAAAACTGGGTGGGGGAAGGGGAGGGGGGGAATTCTCAGGGAAACCGTCTTTGAAAAGAATTGTGTATGGCGAGTCTGCCATGAGAACTCCCAACTCTCCCACCCGTCTGGCAGATGTAATGGAAAGGTGCATGGAAAGGTGCAGTTGAGAGCATGCTGCCATGGGCTCAAATGGAGGGTCTGTGAGGACTTGTGTGGTCTTGTTTTTGATGATCAGTAAGAAGTGGGAGCAAGCGTTGTTAATGGCTTGTAGTTCTAAAACTGAGATCTCAAACTCAAATCACCATGAGGGCCCCATGAGGACTAGTACATTGGCACGAGGGCTGCATCACGGACACCTTTTCATATAAAGCCCCCCCACCCTACCCCACTCCATCCCTTCCATGAGGCCCCACCTCTTCTCACCCCTTCCCTGCCCCCATTCCAACCCCTTCCCCAAATCCCTGCCCGGCCCTGCCTCTTCTTCACCTCCTCCCCTGAGCACACAGCTCCCCGCTCCTCCCCCCGGAAAGCGCCGCCAAAGCCCGGAGGTAGGCAGAGGAGTGGAGACGTGGCATGCTGGGGGCGGCGAGCTTGGCAGCCACAGGAAATAACTCCAGGGGGTGGGGGTGCAGAGACCTTGGCAGGCCACAGCAAATAAATCTGGGGGTGTGGCCTGCGTGTTTGAGACCCCTCTTCTAAAAGATTTATGTGGAGAAGGGATTCTGCTGGGGACCAACGGCCCTGGATGGAATGTGAGTTCAGATGTGCCCCCAAGCCCAGGAGCGATGAGTCAGTAATGATGGTCATCGTTGGGGAAATTTGTACAAGAAGAACCGCTGCACAGACATGGTCTGGTTGTGTCCGCCAGAGTAGGGAGTCTTTTTTTGTTTGGCATTGTGAGGTGCTTGTTTACTTTGGGATATAAACTCTGGAGTCAAGCTTGTAGATATTGCATGTGTAGTCTTGTGTGCCTAACAAACATCGTGGCAGCCATGTGGCCTAGTAGTTGCAGGCAAGTCCTGGCAGTGACTTACAGGCTGTTTTGTGCTGTGGAGATCAGGTTGGTTAAGATGAGAAATCATTGTGGTAGAGAGGCCATCATCTTGGGAGAAATGAGGTAGGCTCCAATCAACTCTAGTTTTTGCACTGGTGTTAGTGTTGATTTTTGTGCATTTATTCGGAGGCCTAACCTCATGAAGAGAGCTGTCAGCTGTTTGGTGCACTCTGATGCTGCTTGTTCTGTAGGTGCTTTCAGCAGGAAGTCGTTTAAGTATGGGAGTATCAAAGTTCCTTTCTTGAGGAGACAGGGCGCCATGATAGCAAGGACCTTTGAAAAAACTAGAGAAGTAGCGGACAGGCCAAAGCGTAGGATCTTGTACTGGAAATGATCCTGTCCTATGGCTGGAATTATGGTGGCTAACGTGCCATCTTGAAGTATTGGATTTTCACGAAGTTGTTGAGTGGAAGATTGAGAATGGGTCTCCACCCTCCTGTTTTATTTCTGTATGAGGAAATAATGTGAATAGAAGCCCTTCCCCTTCTGTTGGTATCAGTTTTACCGCTCCTGGATGTACGAGGTGGGTTACCTCCTGTTGCAGTAAGGCTTTGTGAGAAGGGTCCCTGAAGAGAGAGGGAGGATTGGGGGGGAGGGGAGTAAAGGAATGAAGTATCCAACCTCAATTATCTCCAGTACCCATCTGTCTGTTGTGATGGACTACCAGACTGGGTAGTAAGGAATTAGGCTGCAAATGGTTGAGACATGGGGAGGGGTTCCAGTACTGAAAGATGTGGTGTTCTCGGGTCCTTGAGCAACACATCAAACTTGCTGGTGGGAGGTTGTTTGTTAGATATTGCATATTGAGGTGGAGGCTGGTGTCTTCTTGCGGGCCCCTGTTTTGGCCCTGTACTTCATACTAAGTGTTTGTGTCTATGGTGTAAACCAGTATCTCTGCATGTTATAATATTTACTCTGTCTTCTCTTGTTCCTAGGAGTATAAATTCCCAGGGATTTCACTGTTGCCCTTGATGTCTTGGCCATGAAGAGTTTGAGCCCTTCAAAACAGCAGATCCTCAATTGTTAATTGCATCTCTCTGGGCTTTTCCAGAGAGATGCAACAAAGAAGATGATCTCATGGCTATCACAGTAGCTGTAGACCATGCTGCCATGTCTGCAGAGTTCAAGGCGGCCTATAATGCCATTCTGGCAAGCAATCAGTTGTCCCTCAGAGGTGAGGGCTCTAAACTCATATTTTTTCTCCTCGGGAAGAAATTCAATAAAGTCTACACAATTTATGTGAAATTATTCACATAATTATCCA